ATATATAAAAAATAAAAAAAACAATGGTAAAACTACTCAGCTACGTTTTAAACGCGGCTTAAGCAATCGGAGCACATGTGTGTATAACGTGACTGCTTCGGCACACGATACCTATATACTTGTAAGGTTAAGACGTGTCGCTTTACATGTTATTGCAACAACCCACGGTGCATTAACAATTTACCAATATCAGCTGGAGCACACGAAAAACTAACTGTCCCTTCGTTCAATTTTCGTACGAATAAAGAATGTGCACTAACATGGACATTTCAACATTACGCCAAATATATGCGTATAGGGTATACATGTACAAAATGTGTAAGTTGACTATTTTATCGCAAGTACAATTGTTTTTACCGATTACTTTTCACTCTCTGAAATTATACCAGTAGTGCAACGTGGTTTTGATTTTTATTAACTAGTAGCACGTTGTATGTACAATCGATTGTTCATTGGTCAAAAGTTAGGGGTGATGTATCGAAACAACAACAAAAAATGATGTTTCGACGAGCCGGGACATTGTAAAAAAACGGCATTTGCACGAAAGTATCCGATATTAGTTTTGATTAATAATCGTATATTTTATATATGATAGCTGAAAAAATAGTGAAGCGCGCGCGCGCGTCTGTGTGAGTGAAAATACGTGAGAGAGAAAAAGGAGGCAAGTGTATACAGCAGAGAGAGAGAGAGGGACGAAGCCGAGTCGGGACGAGAGAGAATTTATGTAAGATATCGATGAAAAACTATAACGTTTTTAACGAAAAGGAATCCATTGTTGTTGACCATGTGTCGGTGGGACTAAAAATCATTAAGTTGTTTCACAAGTGAAAACGTTATCCATCGGACGACCCGATGGTGCACCGTTTCGATTTTTAGCCAAAGAATATAACTATAATATATTGTACATATGCACCAGATTTTACAAGTTTTTTTTCCAATAGATATATACGTATGTATTAACTGAACTACGTACATTATATATACCAGTGTCATTAAGATAAGGTAATTATCATCATCATAACAATAAATATTATTCGTCATTTTTGTCACAGTGTTTTTACTTTTATGCGTGTCTTCCTCGAAACTTTCACATTTTTAGTGATACAAGAAAGACTTTTTAAATTAGCCTTTGTCCCCGCATGTACATGATATTACAAAGTTCTCGATAGGTATATAAATCACAAAATCATCACAATATATACTTCAACTGCAAATATGAAGTTGCGTTCGATGGAACCGACCCGTAAATGTATATATTTTACGTACGCGTATATGTATAATGCATAATGACACAGAGAGAGAGAAAAAGTCCATCCGAAGCGTAAATTGTGTACTTATTTATAGAAGAGTTTCGGCCAAGGTGTACGAGTTGTTGTATATAGCCGAAAAATAAAAGTTTGTAAAATATATTTATACACATGTAACCTATACAATGCATATGCATATATTATATACTAGACTCGTGAGAGAGCGGAGCGGTTGAAAATTGTTTCTCAAGGCCCCGCGGGTGCACACTGCTCTTTTTTTTTTTTTTTTTTTTTTTTTTTTTTTTTTTAATCGCGTCGACCATCCCCCGTGCAGCTGTGTAATTTAATAATAACGATATCGCGGTGCAACGTGAAATTTAATGGAAAAAAGATACGTTTGCAAAGACCACACTAGGTGCCTTCGAAGAGTGGCACGCGTGGGCCGCCCGCGGGCAAGTTGACGATGCACGTATATAATATACCTATTGTACAAAACTTGGTTGCACACCAAGAAATGGTATACGTATTTATAGATTTTTGTACTTCATAAAAAAAAAAAAAGTTGTACAGCCGAATAAAAATATACATTGTAGAATGTACGTTATGTGCCCCGCTCCCCAAGTTGTGTGATACAAATATACAATTGCGCGATGTATAATTACATTTAAAATAGTATAAGCAATCTTGTTGAATTAATTCAGCCATCCGCGATAAACTTTCGATCGGGCACTTTCGGCTCTCAACTCCTCAGCTGCCTATTACCTACACATGTGTAAGTATATACGTTTGTAGCGATGAGCACGCACGAGGTCGACAAGAAGGGGGCATGAAGCGCACATGAGGCATGACTCCTCCGGAGAGCGTGTATTTATTATATATATATACATGTGTGTATATACAAAACGTCGACGGCTGCTGCACGCATATATAATACATACGTTTTGAGGCCCCTTTTTTGACACACTGTGTACACACTTAAATGTATATATGATACACGTACGTATACATTAAATTGTATAAATATTGTATGTATAAAATAATTTGGTTGTTGTATACCTGCAGTGCTCGCACTACCGTTTTGCGCTCGTGTTCTGGTCCGTTTTGCTCATCTATATGTATGTATATATACTGGAGGCGACAATCACATCGGCTATATATGTACGTACTTTCTTCTGATTAAACGCAAAAGTAACAATTTTTTCAAAGGTAACCACACGTAGGAAGAGCCAATTGGTGTGAACAATCGACAAAAACAGGTGAAATGGGGAGGTGGTGGTGGGGAGGGAAATTTTTTCACAGCTCCGAAATATGTATCACGAAAATCAACGCGAAATGTTATGCGGAGCACCGGTGCTGTTGCCTTACTAGCCGCGCCGCGGACACATTTCTAAACGGGTAGGTGTACACTCAGTATATACATATACATAATATACCGAGTCGCCGCCGCAGCAGCAGCTGAGATGTGTACATATACACGTATAGTACATGGAGGAAAGAACGAAGAGCATGTTCAGGGCGGCGGCGGCAACCGAGAGTATCGTAGCCAAGGAGAGAAAACGGCGGCAAGTTGGCTGCATGTAGTAGCGTTATCGTATACACAGATAGATAGATAGATCACACATACACATAATAATAGCTAGCATGATGATGGAATATTGTACCTATACTATATTACCTGTCAGGGTAATATAATTTATTTTACTTTTCACTTATACCTTATTGTAACTTTTGTACGTTTTTTGTTTTATTTGCAACCCAATGGATTTCAATACGTATACATTTGGTACTACAAGTTAATGAAAAGTATATACCACAAGTCGCTTGCATGATTTTTGAAATTCCAGGGCAAACTGTACACTAGTATCATCCTGAAAATGTATATTCATTTCTGTTGGTCTTTTTACATACAAGTTGTACAAAGAATATAACTAAAATGTGAAAAGAATAATTTTTACCAGACCACTTGTGGAAATTCATATAGGAGCATAATCTTCTGTACAGTATCCTGTAAATGGCGGTTTCCAGGCCACTCTACTTTTGCCTACCCTATAAAATTTTTTTTATTACTTTCATCTTTCATGATTTCAACTGGATAATTGTACACACTTAGTTTTGCTGCAATTATCTATATGGTTTAATGTTAACAAAACTCAAATTTCATAAATACACGCTTGGACCCGTTTTCAATAAAGATTTAATAAAAAAATAAAAAAATTGCCGCTCTTAAAATTATTACTGTACATTTTCATGTGTAAGGTATATGTACCAAGCCGGTATTACAATATGCACTCAAATGTACGTGCCTATGTACTTAGTTGTGTAAAAGAAAAGAGATCGAAAGGAGAGTCTTTTCGAAAGTTTCGGAACTTCTTGTACATTATAATACATGCAACAACACTCTCGTGCACGAAAACTGCAGATAATACAACATACGTGTATAGTTACCTAGTGAAAAGAATATCATGAAAAGTAGTGCGGAAGAAGATTCTCTCGAGGCAGGCCTTCGATGATGCAATTATATAAATATGTTCACGAGAAGTCAACGTGTATAAGTACGAGCGGATTTCCTGTATGCCGTTTCTTTTCGCTTCATTGATCGAATTCTGAAAAAAAAAAAAAAAAAAACAATTGGTTTTCCATCCGATATTCGGTGCTGATAACATACGTAACTTGTAACGTTTTAATATTTCATCAACAAAAGAAAACACAAAAATGAAATCATGGATTTACTCATTATGTTGGCTAAATGTATTTCTACTATCGTAGTTATACTGCTTTCATGACAAGACAGGCAAGGGCATCATTATTGAAAAGTAATTAACATATAACAAATGAATCACTGTAGCTATTCTGTAAAAAAAGTGTATATACATCAGTAATTTAAATTTACCAAAGGTTGGGCCGGTACTTCAAAGTTACCTTATACATACTCATGAGTATACGACACTCGAAACGCATAAGTTGATAAGTAAGTAAGCATAGTTGCAAACGTGCATCTGTGTCCAGCTTATTCGTTTTTTCAAGTTACACTTACACGTATGAGGACATCAATGACGTCACGTAACAATCTGTAGACGTCAATCTGTGTGTCTGTGGGCTGTTCGCTTAATTATATTTTTTATCTTTGCGTATATGATTCTCAATTCAAGCAGATGTGATTTGCCGTCATATTAACATATCACCAGTTTGCCATTTATAGTTGAAACTCTGATTTGTTTGTCGATGACAAAAAATATTATCATTTTATACTGCAAGTACAAAAACTTTGGCTGGTGGCTCCCAAGTAAGTAATGCCATGTACCCTATGTAATAAATATGGCCTCACAAAAATGGCCCACCTATACATACGTATAATATATTGTCTCGACTTACACGCAATAGTTACGTTGAATGGATTTTGCGTGTGAATACATGGCTTTTGTGCGTGCATAACTTGAAAACTCAATTAAATAAATAGTTTCAGTAACTTTACATATATAATAATTTCAAAAAACACTGATTTTCGTGGACACAAGTTCACGTAATATATACCAAAACTTGATGATTTTTGACGTAATGCGCTCAGTTTTTTTTTTTTTTGTTTTTTTTTTACCGAAAGCCAATGATAATAACAACTGATAAAGTACATGTTAAAGTGCGTCTGGCTTCCGCATCACTTGCAAAAATAATACAGAGTATTTGAAGATAAAAGAATTGAAAAAACAAAAAAACATTGTAAAACAACACAGGCAAAAACATTAACGGGTCTACTGCACGAGCAATTAAATTAATCGAAGAGAGATGATTGTTAAAGATTTTTCGGCACGTAGGTATATAAATGCCAAAGGAAAATCGAAAAAAAGTTAAAAAGCGTGCTTCAAGCTTCCTTAACCCATCGAAAGGTAAACATGGTCGCTAAGGTTGCGCTGTTAGTCCTCTTGGCTGCTGCCGCGGTGTTGGTGAGTAATTTTATTCCGCATGTAAATTTATACAAAACCAAAATAATGAAATTCTTAGTGTGCAAGAGCGTTTGTTTGATTTTTCATCCAATACAACAATAAATGACGAATAATCAAAAGTTTATAAATATATGTTCAACTCGATTCGCAGGCCGCCCCAGAAGTACGCCACAAGAATGTTCAGGTGAGGTTTCGACGGTTAGCTTTTGCAATTACTGCTGAGTGAAGTAAAATCATGAGAAAACTTATTAATTTATCAAACATAACGCGTAGATCGACGCAGAGTCGGAGAAAAAGTACGGGTTGAGCGAGTCCCAGGAGCGCAGCATCGAGGACACGTGGGCAAAGCTGAAACTCAAGTTTTACAAAGCCCTCGAGGTGATTAAAGCTACTTGGCAGAAAATTAAGGAAAGGGGGGAAAAGATATACAACGCCAACCTGAGGCACATCAGGGAGAAGGGTTTGGCGCTCCTGCAGCTAACCAAGGAGGCCCACAAGCAGGTCGTAGCGGAGGGCAAAGCCGCCCAGCCTGACATAGACGAGATAAGGGACAATCTGAAGAATCTCATGGCCGAACTGAAGAAGACTGGAGACGAGGCTTACAACAACGTCCAGGAGCTCGTTCAGGAGGTGGTGAAGACGGCCACAGATAAGCTGCACACTAATCGTCGTGGCGTAATGAACGAAAACATCGACGCCGAGGTGCTGGTTGAACGAATGTAATTGCAACGAATGTAAACCTACAAACCAGTGATGATACTTATTTAATTACTATATATAAGTCAGCCAGATGACTACAGCGTTTTTAGTTAATAATACTATTTAATGAGTGTGTTGAGTAGTGAATAAAACTTTTTTACATAAGTGAATTTCGTCAATTCTTTTTACAAGCACTGTATATCCTCAATCATAGTTAATATTGTTATATAGCTTTTCAATTTAAACCAGCCAAGTTTAACTAATTAGTTAATTAAACAAGAGTTTAACATTGGCGTTAATAATACGCTAGTTTGTTTCAAACTAGCTGTCAATATGTACTTATAATTTTTACAACTCTTATCTATACCGCATCGTCGTGAAAACTCTTACCGTTAAAAAAATGCATTACCTGTGACGAATGAAGTGAAAATGTTTTAGGTAGAGCACTTATTACATTGATAAGCAATAATGGGATACTTGAATACTTTACTATACAATTACGTGCAACTAACCATTCAAACTAACAATCTTGTACACGGAGAAGACGAGAAAAACCCTTTTATTTATTTTACAAGTACTATGTCGGCAAACGGTCGAGAAAAATCTGATAAACTTTTGCACATGCGAGCCACTTTTGTGGCGTATTAACTATTTTACCGAGCGAGTGAGATGTGTACCCTCCTACTGAGTTTATTTTTTAAAGCATACTATACTCTTACATACCTATTTACATTTAGTTAAACAATACTTACAGTTTCACTTATAATTGTAAGGCGTACAGCAAAAGACCAGAATACTCCTGCACTCCTCAGCAGTCAACTTGATTACGTAGCATATAGGTGCACATTTGTTACTTTTACGAACACCTTTAATTCAGATTTCAAAATAAATCGAGCGACCGCCACCTTTGATGAATAAAACTCATGGTTACACGTGTATAGTTTTCCTAAGGTTAAATAAGTAAATAAAAAAGAAAAAAAGTAAAGCTTACATGTATCCGAACCTTGCACACTCAAATCGCGGCCATAATAAAAGTGTGGTTTTACTTGTCGCGCAGTAGTTTTCACGGTCGTCAGTTTGATTGTGACTTTGTGACTCGCGACTATACTCTGTAGTCTGTACTCTCTTCCTCTCTTGTAATTGCGTGATTGCGTGATTTTTCCAAAGGTTATATGTGGTAGGTGGTAGGCAAGGAAGCCCAGTCACGACATCTGCATAAAAACGCATAAGTAAGGACGCATAAGAACAAATATGAGTATACTTACACAACACACGTACGAGTGGCACGAAAAGGCGGACATTACAATGTTGCAAAGCAGACGGTTTCTATTTTATCTACTTAAGACTTAAGTTATACAGTTACATCGTTTTCCGCTGTATTCCGCAAATGCTGCCAGAGCCAGCGCAGTTAAGTTAGGTCGTGTCAAGCGGTACGTCGTCCAACCATGCGGCATTACCACGACCTACGTAACTTAACTGCTAGCAGTCAATTAATCATTCTGGTAAAGACAGCACGGCGGTAATAAGATTTACGCGAAGTAACGTGTAGTAATTTGTAGTAATCACTACTACGTAGTGCCATATGGTCGATTTTATTGAGCCATATATATTCACTTGCCGCAAACAACACAATCTATGTTGACTTTGTATTTTATATCAATAAGATTAGTTGCGGCTGGTTTATAACAAATAAAGTGACTTTACTGTAAATAGCAATAATTATTTGGATCAGCGCCATCTAGCGGTCTTGATTTTTTGGCCAAAAGTGGCCTCTAAAATTCTCAATCAGAGCAATCAGGCTTAGAGCTATTTAGTCAATTATAAACCAGCCGCAACTAATTTTGTGGATAGATAATAAAAAGTTGACGTAGTTTGTGTTGTTTGCGGCAAGTTTACAATTTATCTTTTACCCAAAAATTGACCTCGAAAAGTATAGATATTCTACTTATATGGTTTAATAAAATCGACCATATGGCACTACTTAGTAGTGATTAATGTAATTACTACACGTAACTTCACGTATATCTTACACGCGTGCTCTCTTNTTTGGCCAAAAAATCAAGACCGCTAGATGGCGCTGATCCAAATAATTATTGCTATTTACAGTAAAGTCACTTTATTTGTTATAAACCAGCCGCAATTGATCTTATAGATGAACAATAAAAAGTTGACGTATTCTGTGCTATCTGCGGCGAGTCTACAATTTAAAAAAAGAATTTCAGTTACACGAAGAGTCTCCTAAGAATGGAGCATTAGATCTTACTAAATAAAAAATATATTTATTACATATATGCGTTTATCATTATTCAAGCTTTCTAGGAATCAAATGATTGTATTAGAAAAATGATTTTCTTTGTTGTGAAAATTTTCAAATCATTCTATTTGAATAAACTAAGAGTATAATTTTCTTAAAAATCACCAGTTGGATCTTAAGATACAACATAAATTCCACAATTATTTATACAAGTTTGATCGGATTTAATGAACAATCGTACTTTTTTAGCACAACATAATACTTTTTTTCAAGTCCAATTGTTCTTCGTTATCATCACAATAATCACTTGAAATCTAACAAAAACAAAGCACACAATTTTTTAGATTTTTATTTGTAAATAAGTTATAAAATAATCTAATAGCTTCTAAAGGTAAACTGAATAAGAAACAAAAAATTTAATTTTCGAGCGCTTGACTGTATACTTGTCAAACAAAGTAATAAACGCAGATAGTTAAATCCGTTTTGAATAAAATTCTGTACAAGGTTGTGTATACTCTATGTCATAATTTTTATTAACTGTATATAGTTTCGTATCCGTAATCTTGAAATTGTTACCAATGTTCAATTTATTTCTGGACACTCCGAAAACTTTTTGCATACGATTTTTCGGATTTTCAAAAATCCGTCTTTTTTGAGCTTCTCATTTAGCAGCAGCGGCATCGGCCATCACCTTTTTTTCATTTAACAGTTGTATGATTGGCACTATTAATAAGAATTGTTAAGTATTATGGTTAAACTGTTTATTTATGTTCCAGTTTATTTGCTTCACTGATACCAAAAGGTCTCATACTAGTGTCACTTAACTTTATTTTTGTATGACGACCACACAGAAAACGTGGGGTGCATTTGTAGAGATTATGGGTGCATTCGAAAGTCTAATTGGATTTGCAAAGATTATCTTTGCCAACTGTTAGTGAATTTCGATCTAACATTTTGTTTTTGTTTACCTATTCGAGTGTGAAAACGTAAGCTAGCTTTAGGTAACATCAAAATTCTACTGGTTTTGTTTTGACACCAGATTTGGAAAATAAAGTTAAATACTACTTATACCGAAGAAGTAGAAGATTTTACAAGTCGATTTTTGGGTCAAAAATAAACTGTAAACTTGCCGCAAATAGCCCAAACAATGTCAACTTTTTACTTTATAACTATGAGATTAATTGCGGCTGGTTTTTAATTAATAAAGCGGCTCTACTGTAAGTTGTAATAATTAATTGGATCAGCGTCATCTAGCGGTCTTGATTTTTTGGCGAAAAGTGGCCTCTAAAATTCTCAATCAGAGCAATCAGGCTTAGAGCTATTTATTCAATTATAAACCAGCCGCAACTCATGATAAAGCTATAAAATGAAAAAATAACAGTACATGTGTTTTGGGCGGCAAGTTACCAATTTATTTCTTACCAAAAAATCGACCTCCTATGTATTTATACTTTTGATGATAAATTTTCGAGCTTAAAAAAAATTGTTAACTTGCCGCCAAAAACACATGTATCGTTATTTTTTTATTTTGTAGCTTCATCATGAGTTGCGGCTGGTTTATAATTGACCAAATAGNCAAAAAAATTTAATTTTCGAGCGCTTGACTGTATACTTGTCAAACAAAGTAATAAACGCAGATAGTTAAATCCGTTTTGAATAAAATTCTGTACAAGGTTGTGTATACTCTATGTCATAATTTTTATTAACTGTATATAGTTTCGTATCCGTAATCTTGAAATTGTTACCAATGTTCAATTCATTCCTGCACACTCCGAAAACTTTTTGCATACGATTTTTCGGATTTTCAAAAATCCGTCTTTTTTGAGCTTCTCATTTAGCAGCAGCGGCATCGGCCATCACCTTTTTTTCATTTAACAGTTGTATGATTGGCACTATTAATAAGAATTGTTAAGTATTATGGTTAAACTGTTTATTTATGTTCCAGTTTATTTGCTTCACTGATACCAAAAGGTCTCATACTAGTGTCACTTAACTTTATTTTTGTATGACGACCACACAGAAAACGTGGGGTGCATTTGTAGAGATTATGGGTGCATTCGAAAGTCTAATTGGATTTGCAAAGATTATCTTTGCCAACTGTTAGTGAATTTCGATCTAACATTTTGTTTTTGTTTACCTATTCGAGTGTGAAAACGTAAGCTAGCTTTAGGTAACATCAAAATTCTACTGGTTTTGTTTTGACACCAGATTTGGAAAATAAAGTTAAATACTACTTATACCGAAGAAGTAGAATATTTATACTGTTACAAGTCGATTTTTGGGTTAAAAATAAACTGTAAACTTGCCGCAAATAACACAGAAAATTTAAACTTTTTATTGTCTATCCATAAGATTAGTTGCGGCTGGTTTATAACAAATAAAGTGACTTTACTGTAAATAGCAATAATTAATTGGATCAGCGCCATCTAGCGGTCTTGATTTTTTGGCCAAAAGTGGCCTCTAAAATTCTCAATCAGAGCAATCAGGTTTAGAGCTATTTAGTCAATTATAAACCAGCCGCAACTCATGATGAAGCTACAAAATAAAAAAATAACGATACATGTGTTTTTGGCGGCAAGTTAACAATATATCTTATGCTCAAAAATTTATCTTCAAAAGTATAAATACATAGGAGGTCGATTTTTTGGTAGGAAATAGATTGGTAACTTGCCGCCAAAAACACATGTATCGTTATTTTTTTATTTTGTAGCTTCATCATAAGTTGCGGCTGGTTTATAATTGACTAAATAGCTCTAAACCTGATTGCTCTGATTGAGAATTTTAGAGGCCACTTTTGGCCAAAAAATCAAGACCGCTAGATGGCGCTGATCCAAACAATTATTACAACTTACAGTAGAGCCTTGTAATTGATCATTAACCAGCCGCAATTAATCTTATAGATATAAAGTAAAAAGTTGACATCGTCTGGACTGTTTGCGGCAAGTTTACATTTTATTTTTGACCCAAAAATTGACCTCCAAAAGTATAAATGTAGGTACTTATAGGAGAGCACACAGAAGGGCTGGAGGGTAAGCCCAGTGTTGCGAGCTTGCGAGAAGCATCCGCTAAAGAGTCTGCAGCGTAAATTTTCGAGGTTAAGTTTGCTTATGCACAGTGGCCGTTGTAGGTATGTTGTACACTGCTCACCGTTTTTAATTAACCCTGATTACAAGTATCCGACAATTCGTTCGCGGATTCGTGCTTAATTTCTCTGTGTTGTTTAGATTTGAGAGATCGGTGGGTAAGAAAGTGGATATCGCTTAGTTATTGTACGCAGGGTCGCAGGTTCAAGTTCATGGTGAAAAATGTCAAACAAGAGAAAACCAACCACGGAGCTAAATCACGACAACTGGAATCAAGAAGAGGAGAAGATAGAACCCGGAATTTTTGAGAAAGCCTCCGACGATATATTGAGTCGACGGATCGTGAAAACAGCTAGACGACGTCTTCCGCAATCTGAAGATGTAAGTTGGTTGGTTCACATGGCCACGAGCTCCGAATTGCTGTGAAACCAATCATCGTGTGTTATTAACGTTTTTTCGCATTTGATTACAGGGTACGACCAAAAGTGCGTTTGGCTCATTTACTGGGTTCAAAACAACAGCTGTAACAAATTCTGCATCACCTTTCAGTTTTCTAAGGTCAAATTCGAGTGCCAGTACTTTGACCACTTCAAACTCGAATCTTGACACTATCAAGACAGAGACGAATGGATCTGCAACGGTTTCAGAAAACGGCACGAGTAGTCTTGCAGAAGCTGCGACCTCGACAGAACCAAAAACAGCTCCCACAAACAAAGAAAGTGCCTCCTCTGGTAAACCTCCGGAGTATTATGCAAAACTGAAGGGACTTAACCAGGGTGTTGCCAAATGGATAAAAACTCACGTCGACGTGAACCCCGTGTGCATACTGACTCCGATATTCCGTGATTACGAAAAGTATTTAAAAGATATCGAGCAGAAGCATGGAAAAAAAGACGAAAATTCAAAAGTTACTGAGGGCGTTACAGAGACAAAAATTGAGCCACCAAAAACGACCGAAAGTGAAAAACCAGCTGTTACGGAAGCAAAAAAACCATCACTTTTCGTATTTGGTAGCTCTGGCTCTAAGCCGGCCTCAGAAGGACAGTCTCCTATTTCTATTTTTGCAGGCGCGAGTAATCCCGATAAATCAGTGTTTTCGTCTAATTTAAAATCGGATAATAAATGTCCTTTTGGCATTAAAAGCGACACATCCAGCGACAAAAACATTTTTTCGTCCAAGTCCCCTGTAGAAAATAATAAAAAAGATGAAGAATCGAAAAAGGTTGAGGAAAAACCAGCTGGCCTAACTTTTTCCCAGACTGCAACTACCGCGAATTCTGGGCCCTTCAGTTTTGGTCAAAGCCCTTCTACCACCAGCACATTATCCGCAGGGTTTAGTTTTGGAAGGTAAGTTCAAGAAACCTTTCTTGTTATTATCATGTACTTGTGAAAAAAAAAATAAAAAAATCTTTTAAATCCAATTTTAGTGGCAAGCCATTCACTTTTGGAAACGCAGCAGTATCCAAGCCGCAAGATAGCGAGGAGAAAAAAAATGAAGAGAAAGAAGATGATGATGACGAACCTCCCAAACCAGATTTTAAACCAATTACGGAAGAAGGATCAATTTTTGAACAAAGGTATTATCACTATAATTGTCAAACGTCTTTTTTGTTATTCAATATATGTGGCCATTAATAATTTACTCATAAATTTTGAATCTAAATTATAGATGCAAGGTTTACGTTAAAAAAGACGGAAATTACAGCGATCGAGGTGTTGGCACGCTATTTCTTAAGCCAGCTCCCAATGACAAAATGCAACTGATCATACGAGCAGTTAACTCGCTGGGTAATATTTTATTGAACACAATGCTCACGGAAAGCATTCCAACGAAAAAATTGAATAAAAATAGCGTAATGATAGTGTGCCTGCCACTTCCAACGGCTAAACCACCACCAGTCGCTACTCTCCTCAGGGTAAAGACCGAAGAAGAAGCAGACGCGCTTTTGGAAGCTCTTGAGAAACATAAAAAATAGTGGAATAAAACTTTTCCCCTTTTTTTCTTTTTTTGCACGCAGCTAACCGCCATTTCTTTGGTAAATTCAATTATCTTAATGCCTCAAGCAAAACGTATAAACATATACATATACACCTAATGGTAATAGATTACTACAGGACATTTTATTGCAACTCTACCAAACATGATATTAAATTTTCAAATGCTCCCTGGATTATTTTATTCGTAGCAAGCAAACGTGGCATTAAGTTTTTTTTTTTAGTTTTTTTTTTTTTTTAGAAACGGAATACTAGTACATTATAAGACTTCTAATGATTTTTGCATATGTTACATTGTCATTTTCAGTAAATTTTACGTCTTTCAACTGAATCTTAGACATTGAAGAATGTATCTTCTGTATTTTTGAATCATTTAAATGGAGCATTGGAAATTTTTTACACTTATTTGTTATATTTTATTGTTAATAAATTTGTTAAATATAATAGGTTTAATGAGTTGTATTAATGAAAATGTTTTGAAAAAATCTACTACTATAGATGGAAATGAATGTAATGTGACAAGGAATTAATGAAATAAAATAATCGAACTTTTTGAATAAAAATGCATCTGTGAATCTGAAAAAGGTTTAAGTGTATTGAAAAAATATGCTCTTTGATGACGTATGTAACTTAAGACAAGAATGTAGACTATGTTGTTACGTTAAAGAGCATATTTAAACAATGCAATATTTATGTAGACGATGCATTATCTCGAGCATACACTTTGAAGCAGTTTCTTGTATTATATATACTTGAATTTTTGCAGAGAGTACGCAACATACTCTACTAGAGAATTGGAATATTCAGGTAAGGATGCATCACCTTTTAAAATGAAACGTTAATCTGTACGTACAACTTTTCGCCTAATAACTAAAAGTGCGCTCGTATCGATAAATTGTGCATTGAGCAAGTTTATATCGAATTTCAATTTTATAATTAATTCAAAAGTGATAACTGAATTCGATTTCATTTTAATTTCTATTTAACTTAATTTTATGAACAAAACATCTCATTATTAACAGCAAAAAATAATCACTTGTACATAAGAAAAAGTTACAAATTCAATGTAAACGTAAGCTCACCATACGCTTTATAATAAATTGTAAAAAATGTTTCTTTTTTTTTTTACACCAAGAATATAGGAAATAAAGATAATTAAAAAAACTTACATATGCTTTATTCATACAACTTTTAACTTTTAAAGAGGTATTTCAAACATGTAAATATAGTAGGGTTTATAAATGTAATATTTTATTAGTGCAATAAGTTCAAAATGCAGGTTTTTTACATATGAGAATTTTCATGTACTGACATTGTTGTACGTTTTCCAAACATATAATTTTTACAACTGATTAAAAATACGAGGGGACACATTTTAGTCTTTCTATTTAGCTACATTATGTTAATTTAAATAAACCTTTGTTACATTAACGATTCAATTTACAAATTTCTCAAATAAATTTCATAGTTATTTCTCTACTCTCTTATTGCAGAAATTTTTCATCAACACTCATATTATACATATTTGCTTTTATTTGTTAGTGATATAAAAAATTTTTCCTCTAACTATACTCGATCTACAACTAATCTTAACATACATGGATGTGAATTAATTTTCGATTGACGATTTATGATGAACCATATGAATTGCGAATATGTACAATTACATAAACGTAGTAAATATATACATATATATGTATATCATGTAACTAATGTTTTATTCATAAATTCTCTCTTATAGTTATGAGCTACCAACCTCTAAACACTATTGACTTTCAAAAATCACCATCATCTTGGTCAAAAGTCAACAATATTATTATTTTACGTTCCTTGCTTTCATTTTTAATACTGTAAGGAACCATCTCATTTGCCATTAACATTTTTTTTTCTTTTCTTTTTTTTTTTTTTTTTTTTTTTTTTTTTTTTCCTATATCTACATTAACCGTTGCAAAATCTTAGGGAAAGCATCGATTCTCATCTTACCATAAAATTATTCAAGGATTACCTTTTTGGTTTTCATTTGAATTGTAAAGCAACTGCTTTCAATAAAAAGCGATAAACTTATTCTATTTTTGTCGAAATTTATTTTGAGTCCCAACTGAGATATTTAAAAATTCAATTTATCTCATTTTTGCAACCCTTCATTTATTGTAGGTTATGTATACTTAACTTAAACAATAAACAAATCGATAAATTTTATTAGAAACCTTGAATCACGAAGGTCTTAAACGAGTTTCAAAATACTTAAATTTTTTGTGCCATGAAAGGTGTTAATGCACCTACTTGTCCTAATCCCAGTTGTATATGTTGCATGTGTATCTCAACACAATTTTGAAAAACTTGCTGATTTTGCGGCGAAAGTTTCGTCCTGATTTGTTCCATGGTCCCTTGTAGAACTTTCAGCTCGTATGCGTTTTTATCAGAATCTGATAGGCACTGAAAAAAGCGACGATATTTTACACTCCGAGTACCAAAAGCCAAATTCACAGTGATTGATCGATTATGACAAATCAGTTCGATTTTCAAGTTGAAAAGTTATGAAATGTATACTGCTTACTTTAACTTGTAGCATCAGAGCTGTAAGATCTGTAACAAGCTGATTCATTTGAGACGGAGCACTGTCATTAATCATGTTATTTTTTGCCACCATTTCAGCTGCATCCTGGCGACACTTTTCTCTTAGATGTGAGGGTGCTAGCATTGCTGCAACACTGGGTTCAGGGGCGATTTCTTGACACATGTATTGTACTTCATTTAAAATATCTTGGAGATCTGCATTCATTTTTTCCAATTCTACTACGATTCTACAATGAAAGACCACATATTATCACCATTTAAAAAAGTATCAAATAACAAAGCAAGGTTTCAAATGCCTAAGAAAACTAACCCTGCATATTTTCTTTCAAAATCTGGAGGTAAAGATTCTCCAATCGATCTCCGTTTTTCAGCCTCACTGTTCATTTCTTTCAATTTTTTAATCCTAATTTTTTTTGCCACCAAGATTTTGTTCACTTTGACCATACTTTCAAGTAACTTCAATGGATAACCATTGACAAGACCACTAGAAAGAATCTGGTTTTTTTTCGTGATAGTAGCGTTTGAAATTAACGGATCATTCGTTAATCTTGACAATTTCAATTCGTAAGCTGGAGAGGGAACGTATTGAACATGTCGAGGCCTGAATTTGTTTGTAAATGAAGCAACACTTATTGTTTCTGGAGGATCATTTGACTGCAATGATTTCATAAATAAAATAAATTGAGTTTTTCTAAAACTAAAAAAAAAAAAGGATTAAGTCAACAATGTATTAAATACGATCTTACCAAAACCTCATAGTCAGGCACACTATGAGTTCCTAGTCCAGCTCTATCAAAAGTTATCCTATAAGTATTATTGCTTGTGTCAACAGCATCTACACTTCCAGTGAAAAGTCCGTCTTGTGGTTTTCTCAATCTTGCAGTCACTTTTGTTCCTATCACCAATTGAAGTGGTATTTCTGAAGGCAAATCTTTGAAAGCTTGCACATCTGAAACTTTTCGTTGTTGCAACAAGCGAATTTTTTGTCTTTTCCTTTCCAATTCTTTTCTTTCTTCTTCAAAAAAAGCTTGTGAACATCTTCTAGGCTTGCCCATCATTCTTCGGATCTTGCACCACTCGACGCGCGTGAGTTTATGCGTTTTAAGTTGGGGAAATGATTCTTTCAAGCAAATCATGAAATCATTGTCACCGTCAAAAAGTGTCCTGAAAATAAAACGAATAATTTGTAAACATTGAAAGACTCAATATTTTAAGTTATCTTCTACAAGAAGATGCTTACTTGTCAATGTTACTGTAAAACCATTCATAGCATACCCATTTATGAGCTTTAGGTAACTTCAACAGATTTCGTAATCTCATACCAATTTTCTGGCCAATTTTTCTGTCTGGCGAAGAGGGAGCATGCGGCGGTGGATGTTTTTCCGCTGTCTGTGGCTTTTCGATTTTAATTGGCTTACTAACAGGAGTTGACGGTGTCGACACTGATCTCTTGGGTTCATGATAAATCATTCTGGCTCTCTTCATAGGTGACAATCTCGTAATTTTTTTCGGTGACGGTTTTACTGGTGTAGAATCTGGATCCTTTTTTATTCTGTTGAAAAAACAAAAATTATTTTCAATAAAACTGGCTCAAACGAAAAAGAGCTTGACAATTTACCTGTGATGTGGATGATTAACTAGAATATCATCGTAAAACAGCTTATTCTTTTTTCTTATTCTCGCAGGCATCCCTCTACGATTCAAGACTTGAACTGGTTGAGGTGCAGCTGGTTTTGGAGGTGGCTTGGAACCTACTCTTTGTAGACCCAAAGCAGCGGGTCCCAACTCTTGCATTGGTTCCAAGTCTTCGGTATCCATTTGAGAATCCAAAGAATTGTTATTTGACGTGTTGTTCTCATCGATATCCATATCTTCCTCCATTATTTCGTTTTTGACTTCGATATTTTTGTTTTTAATCAACAGGAGAGTCTTTGCCGACTCATCAAGGATTTCTAAAAAAGAAAAGAGAAATTATCATTAGCTTATTATGGGGCCTTCAACACTTCTGATTGATAAAAATAAATTATCTAAATATTCATCAACAATTCAGCACAGTAGTATATTTAGTTTTTAAATAAGATTTAAAAACCGTCAATTTTAAAGATAAAAACTATTTTGAACAAAGAGTAATGATTTCTCATAAAGCTCGTTAAAACTATAGTATGATTCAATCTGCCAGATATTCATGATTTCAAATAAAATATACCATTCCATCCATATGCGTATGTATATATATATATAAATAGACCTGTTTTTAAAAAACGTTCCTAACCTTAAGAATTTGAAAAATACATAGGTACGTATCAAGCGACATTTACATCCTACTAATACAGCAATCTACGCTTCTACAGCAATGCATATTAAATCACATTCCACAAATACCTAACAACATGAAATTAAGGTACACTACAGAATTACGTATGCACCTAATGTGTAAAATTCGATTAAAATAAATCAATTGGTAGCGTATGAACATACATATACATATAGAATATGCAGCACGAAGTTATCGCGATTTATTAAATAAGAACAAGTGTTGAAAAAAACGAAGAACTAAAATTAGGTCATTTCAGAGACAGAGTGTATATGAAAACCATCACGCATCGATATCCAGATCGAATTTGAAAACTAACGAAAAGAATTGCAAGCTCTCGTCGCACACAAAAGAAAAAACATCAAGTTCGCTAGTAAGTATACGGCAATCAACGTGAAAAAATGCCTAAACTTTACGATCTCCGTCAAATCTGAATAAATCAACAAGCAAAAAGCTTTTCACGCATTAAATGACGGCTATACGCTACTCAAGTGCATGCAACAATAATATTCAGAGTTTGTCCTCATAAAAGTAAACGTCACTTTTGCGCTTGCTGCTGTTGAAACGCCCGAGCATCTTGCTTTTTTGAAAATGTTTTATATCCTCTTGGTCCAGCACACTTTTTGGCGAAAATATAATTGTCGAGGCCCCGAGAAAAGTGCCACCAAAGCCCGTGAGCTCCTCTTCCTCCTCACTCAAGGTAACAAAATACACTTTTCGAATTTGCGAAATAAGCGAGAGACAAGAGGGAATTTTTACGTACGTGACACTTTTAGTTCTAACTTTTGCACGCGCGCTGTCCGCACATTGGCAAATTGAAGCAGCCTTTTTGCTTTTGTCAACACTTTCAATTCAAATCTCGTATCTCAGCTGATCCGATAACCGAGAGCCGACGTAACCACCAAAAAAGCGTCCCACAATTAACCCAAGATAGCTTTTTACAAAACCTACTATAACACGCACACACACACTTGAGTATATATGTATACACTTTCTGGTGTGATCGAAGCCTAAGAGCATCGAGATATAGTAAGGGAGCGCGAAAAGGTCTACGCGGTAAATTCGCCTGTAGCGAGAAAAGATGCGAAAAAACGCCGGGGACGAGGACGAAGCAGAGGGCCAGGGCTACCTTGGCTCCGACGACGATGCTCCCACGAACCCTAGCCTGCTCGGGTAGAGTCTTGTAATTTTGAAATTTTGAAATACCAGATGCCCGAAAGAGCCGAAATTCAAACGGTGATGATTTCAAATCTACATCTGTCGTAGTAGATGTAACTGGGAGTCGGGTGGTACACTGGCCCAGATACGCACGACCGGAGCAGAGGTCGAGGATGACCAGGAAACGAAGGCTCTCTCGAGGAAACCCGCGAACTCTCCGCGCAACCGGATCAAGAAAGTTATTTCTTACTCACTCGTAATCTCGTTGTCGGCCATGTTGACGTTGCGTCGCCACTATAGGTTTATACTTCTGGACTGAATATGGTTATGCACGCGCATGTGCTCTCTCTCTCTCTCTCTCATCTCTCATCTCTCTCTTGCTACCAGTCGTCGTCGGCTTTTTACTTCTGCTCTCTGATGATATGCCCCGCTCGTTTTCGTCCGCCTTTCCTCGTCGCTTTTCATTGGCTCTTTCCCTTTGGCGTCTGCGCCAAAAACGTGCGCACTCGTACAGCTTTATTTACGTTTTGGATCGTTGGATCTTTGGATTTATTTTTATTTTTTATTCATTTATTTTTTTCGTTGTATAGGTGTATTTTCGTATAGTTACCATTACATGCATGACGGATGTCGGAACGCTTGCTTATCTGCATATTGAAGTATACAATGATGCCTGTGTTGGAAAGACAAAGAAAAATATACCTCCCGTCTTTTTTTGATTTATAATTATAGACGCATCGACACATGTCAAGTAAAAAACTTCTGTACAGCTCAGCGCTGCTATTAATCGTCGCAGCAATTGTACTGATAAACGACGTCAAGTGCGAACCGGCCAAGCCACAAAAGTTTTGCAGGGAGAGAGCCAAACTGAACGTCTCGGGCGACCTTGGCGATGAGTACTTGCTCGTGGACGCCGAGGTCGACGCTATGCTTGTACTGGAGTGCAAGTTCTGGTGAGCTGTTCCGCATATTTATATCCGTTTGTAACAGTTGAAAGCCCTATACAACTGAATAATTTTTCAATAAAGCGAGGACCCGAACGAAGAGATGCTGTTGCGACCGAAAATCTGGCACTGGCAGGATTTGAACAGGACGAGCGAGCCGACAGAAGTCAAGCTTGGCATGGAGAACAACGCCAGTCTGAACCGCATCCTCTTGACTGTTGGTGGCGCCCTGGTTGTGAGAGTTTTCTCCCCAGGCGATGCTGGATTCTACAGTTGTCTCGGCGCCAATCGCAAGAAGTTCGATCGCGAGTACCATCATTATCGGCTTGAACGTTGAGTTTTGATGATGTCTCATTTGTTCTTTGACGAAACGGAGCTCTGGTAAACTTACCTTGGAGTTTTTTTTTAGCTGTTTTTAAAAACGAAACGCTAGAACCAGCCATGGAGGGAGACGAGACTGATTACAAGAAATATCGTGAGCAGCATCTGGTCCCCGTCACATCGAAGTTTTCGGTTTGAAATGGCATCACGTTATATATATATTGCGTTGACATTTATATGCTGATTGTTGAAATGTATGGTACAACACAGTCCTCGGAAGATACTGAATTGGTAAAAATCAGAAAAGAAGGAGTGACGCTCGAAGTAACTTCTGAATGGAGACGCTGGAGCCACTGCAAGGAATGCAAGGCCAATCGTGGAGTCAGAAAGAAAAAAGCTCTGTGCAGGATTGCAAGTTATCTAGTAGATGAAAATGTAAATACGAGTAAAGCTCCTTTGTAGCGATTGGTTTATGGGTGTATCCAACACGTTTCGCAAATCATTATTTCAGGCAGAAAGTGGTAACAAAACTTCCGAGATAATTGACTTTTTTGCAAATTTTCCAATGATACCTTGCAGGTGTGTTTATAGTTGTATTGAACAATATATATTTTATCTTCGAGAAATTAAAGTATAAAACTTAGATCGATCATTCTCGGAGAGTTATTTCCAAACGTGAGTAACGCCACGAGGTATTTGCCGGAGTTTGTCGTCACTGAGCCATGTAAACCCTGCAAAAAGGTAAAAAAGAAAAAAAACAAATTCAAATACAAAAGGCGCTACGTTTTGAAAGAAGGGGCGCATCTTTCGATCACTTGTCCAGAGTACTTGTGTTTTTATTTTTTTGCTACACAATCACCCGATAGTTACTTATATGTAAAGTTAAATTAATGTTTTTTGCCATTAAGATCAACGGAAGAGTCAAATGTTGTCTGGGAAAAAGATTCAAAAGTTTTGGAAAAGGGCAAGGGCCACTCGTTTCGTAAAAAGGACCCGCAGCCAAGAGTCTTGGTCGACATATTTATGACCATTTATTTAAAAGGTTCATCAAATATATAATAATATATATTATGCAAACTGTGATGACGATTGATTTAAAAAAAAAATGAAAAACCTATGTTTAGGTATTTCTAAGTACGAGCAAGGGAGTTACACGTGTACCGTCGACGATATTCGTATGATGCAAGCAAAAGTAATTGTCGTGACGGAGACGAAGCTTTTGACGCAAGGTCTGTTTTATTAAAAATTTAGTTTGGGAAGATAAAAAATAATAATGTTAAAAAGAGCAAAAAATGTGGAACGCTTCACGATTTTGCGTGTCATCCTTGCGCAGGGGCCATGCTAATCTTCTCTGTATCGTTCCAATTTTAGTATATGTACTGCCGAAGCAAGTACGTTCGTTGACCTCTTAAAGTTCCTTATATACTAACCAATGAATTTCCGTGCGCTTGCGGATAACGANGCGTGCTGATGGGCTCGTTTTTTTTTTTTTTTTTTTTTATATCTCGTCTTTACCGTATAGCACGCGACTGCCGAAGCAAGTACGTTCGTTGACCTCTTAAAGTTCCTTATATACTAACCAATGAATTTCCGTGCGCTTGCGGATAACGAAAAAACCCCTCGTAGCCTCGTAGCGGCGGAGCAACGAACTCCGAGCTACAGCCGTTGAGCGCGAAAATTTGAAACGACGAAGACTCACCACACCATTTAATTTTTCAGCCTTCGTGCGGCACTTTTATTTCTTGAGTTTCGTCCTCCTTCTCGCTCTGGTGGGCTACTGCTACGGAGTTTTCAAGGCTTGCAAGAACCGACGTTACTTCAAAATTCAGACCTACGAGGAGATAAGGAAGGACAAAAAATTGCTGGACGAGTCGGATACCGATTTTTAGTTTCATCGACCAAACATTCCCACCGAAGTTTAATTCTGCATCGATAATTTACGCACGATGAGAAAAAAAAATTTTTTTTTTTTTTAAAAAAAAAAAAAAAAAAAAAAAAAAAAAAATGTAACGATTAAAGTTTAAACGTAACTTTTTTTTCTTCCAACACACCTACAACAAGTAAAGTGAACAATAACGCAAGAGAAGATGGAAAAAAAAAGGATTTCCCAGTGGCGTTGCACAACATCCAAAGAGTTAGGCAAATNAAAAAAAAAAAAAAAAAAAATGTAACGATTAAAGTTTAAACGTAACTTTTTTTTCTTCCAACACACCTACAACAAGTAAAGTGAACAATAACGCAAGAGAAGATGGAAAAAAAAAGGATTTCCCAGTGGCGTTGCACAACATCCAAAGAGTTAGGCAAATGAAGTCGTAAACGTTTTCAGTGACGGCAGACGCGTGTATCAGCATTTTTTCAAAGATCGTTACAAAAGAGCAACACGAGCACAGCGCAGCAGTGGTATACAAGTACGAGAGCCGAGTATAGTGGCCTCTAAAAAAAAAAAGAAACAAAGTGAAAGGTACGAGAGAGAGAGAGAGAGAGAGAAGCCCGGTGCCGATGCACGGACAGTGTACACAGCGACGCGTTCGGATTCTGCCTTGGTGGTGGCACACGTTGAGTTAACTTTTATCAGCTCGTCGCAAAATGGCTGTGTGCGTCAAAGTCATCCTTCGGATCTGAAAATATCGGAGAAATCGTACTTTACACGTAGAACAAGGATCGGATTCACGAGGATGTGGGTTTGGAGGAGGCTGGCCGCGGTAGCGATTGTCCTGATGCTACTGGTGGATCGGCCGATCGGCAGCAAAGGTATATGTATACATGGGAAATATGGCTGATCGGTATGGAATTTTACTTTCGATTTGTGACCTGTCAAGGTTTTATGGTTTTCACGTGAACGAGATTGGGTAGTTTAAAAAAAAATAAATAAATTTTTTCACCAACGTACAGTTCATGTTGGAGTTCAAGGTTTATCTCTAGTATTCTAAAACGCAAAAAAAAAATATTTGAATGGCATATGTGCGTAATTACAATTATTTCCTTAAATCCCAAAGGGAAGGAAAAATCAATGTTGTTTCAAAACAAAATAAATAACAATGGAAAAACAATGTTGCAGCACACATGAGAAGATGCGTCAAATGCAGATCGAGGGGGGAATTGGGATCATGCAAAGATCCGTTCAAGTTCAACGCGACCCAAATCGAAACCGAAATAGGAGTCGAGAGCATACCATGTCCCTCCGGCTGGTGCGTCAAAATCATTGAAAGCAAAAATCTTAATAATGGTAACTTTATCATGTGTACATAATTTTTTCACCTGTGATGGTATTAAGTTCAACGAAACCGATGATTTTCAATGTTTTGATTTTTAGAGTACGGCGTAGCCACGGAACGTGCGTGCCTCCAACGTGCCCTCGAGGATAACGAGGAACGATGCGCCTTTACCAAGTGGAACTACAAAAACGTGTACATGTGTTTTTGTAAAGGAGATTTGTGCAATGCTGCCTCCACATCCTCCACGATCTCGGTTTTGTACGGCATCGTGGTAGCTCTCATTTTCTTGCGGTGATCTATCGTATCCGAGAAATTTCACAAAGTAATACATCGCGACCTCCGTACGTACTCGTATCGTGTTATTTTGGTTTAACAACTGTACATGTAGATAGAAGAAGTTGCATAGAATGTAATTTAATTTTTGTTTGTTTTTTTTTTCCTTGATTATTAAGTTGTGTTACACTTACTTTTAATAGCTCTTTTTAAGTAAATTCAGTCGGATGATTGTGTACATATATATATATATATATATATATATATTATAACATAGATTTCGCACGATGTAAAATAATACATGCTTCACACTTTTTTAATAATACAACGTCCAAAATGTGTTGTTGTTATCATTACTCTACAATATTAGAATTAAAAAAGAGGAAGAAAAAAAGTCACACGCAGTGAATGACGTTAAAACCGTCGTCCCAGCGATACCACGGTGAACTCGGTCTCAAACTACCGAGCACATTGCCATTGAGGCCGTTTAGTTTCCGCAACTCCTGGTGCCTCAGTACTGCTCGCTCGTGGGGTACGTCGCTGAAGAACAACTCGCCTCTCCCGTACAAGTACTTCACCGCGATCAGTGCCGCTTCCCCGATAAGCAACAGCGGATCCGGATGGCCTGAGAGAAAGAAAAACCCCAAATTATATTCAACCAAACTTTATTGGGTCGCACGTGATTGTATCACCTAGTCCGTGAGAAAAACCTCCTTCCCCGGCACTGAGGTCGTTTCGTTCGATGAATCGTGGACCGTCTGGTCTTTGTGACAAGTAACGAGCTCCACTCCGGGTTGGGTACCCTGTGAGAACATCATACACGTATCGTGCCAACGGGGCAGTGAATACACAGCTCGTGGGTTTTGTTAAAAGGGTACAAAAAATGTGGCTCACCAGATCCCGAGTTCAGCAGCGTGGAGCTTCTTCTAGCGACCGACAGGTAGGATTGCTGCTCGACGATCCGCGCCCCTGGAAAAGGAAAAGCCCGTCAAGTTTGTCGTTACATTAAAAAATAACGGGTGCATGGAAATAAAGTGGACGAGGAACAATGGACGCGTGTGTTTCACCATCCGTGGTGAGCCCGTGCTCCTGTATGTAAGGCGGCTGCACGAATCTCACGCGGATGCGCGCGAGCGGCGGGCCCACAGTCGCCCGGATCGTCAACGCCGTTACAAGCAACAGCCTCAGGCACAGCTGAAATTTCAACAGTACGAGCGAACCGTGTACATACATTATATTATAAATATACACCGGAGGCAATATGTATTTTGTAGAAAAATTAAAATTTAACGCAACTCGTGGCTTAAACGCCTCAGCTTCGGCAATATGAGCCCAAGAGTAAGTATACAATAATTTGCACAATAGCCATCAGAAGTGTGTATGGGTGTGCTTGCAAGAGTGCAAACGTTTTTTCGCCTCCGATCGAGAGCGGGACTACGCGTATACATAACGCAACAAAATGCCTTTATGTACCTTTTTTTTTTCTTTTATGTACGCGCGTGCTGATGGGCTCGTTTTTTTTTTTTTTTTTTTTTATATCTCGTCTTTACCGTATAGCACGCGTGGCGGTGAGACTTAAGTAATCGAAGCTTTTTTTTTTTTATTTTAACTCGTTGGAACTCGCGATGGGCAATTTATCACGCGGAGTAGGGAAAATAGCGTCTCGTGCACACGTGCATTACGTACCCATAGATGCCGATTTCGCGTGTACGGGAACAGTTGAAATCCGAACGAAGCAATTTTTTAATGTTTTTTTTTTTTTTTTTTTTTTTGTGTGACAAACTCGTGGATGCAAAGTAAAGAGAGAGAGAGAGACAGGAGGGCGAAAACTTTCACGTCTAATCAAACAAAAAGTACCCATACTTGTGATACTTTTCCCCGAAATACCGCCTTGCGCAACCACGACTCTGCGGGACATGAATAACGCAGGTTTGACGCTCCCCTAGCGCGGACGTGTACACACGTAACTCGACGAGCTCGCACCTCGTGGAAAATTTGTACACGCGCGAAACTCGGAGCATAGAAAAAGGAAAAAAAAAAAAAAAAAAAAAAAGGCCCAGCCTCCGAGTGGATTGCGGCATCCTTCGGAGAGGAGCGCGCGCTCTCTTATAAATTCGTTCCGAGGATTGCGCTGTAATATATTTTAGCGCATGCAACGCGCTGGAAATGACACACACAAGTAAGTACATGACTCCTCGTATATATCTCACCCCCCCTCCCCCCGTCGCCGTTTGCAAGGATCAGGCGAGTCTGACATTAGCGAGATTTGTTACGTGCGTTGTGAACTGTCATGTTTACATTTGCGCGGATGGTGTCGCTGATTATACTTACGTATACGGCAATGCCTATGTACAATCATACAGTTCGTTGTCATCCACCGATTGATCGGTTTTTACCCTCTTTGTTTTTTCAATAGTTGTTTTTCAGGATTTCCGGATTAACGAGTGGAGCGGACTTTTTTCCCTACTGTTTCGTGTCGATTGCACTCAACAATCATTATTTTACTTTTTTTATTTATTTTTTTTTTTTTTTAACTAATCAGGTATCATTGTCAACACTATTGTTTTATATTTCAAGGCACGGCGCGCGCTTGGCAATACAATTTTCCCATACGACTTTGACTTTTTGTGAAAAACGTTTGCACCTTGCAGTAAAAATTTTTAACGGGTACGATTCGATGACTCAACTCAAAATATTGTTTTAAAAACGCATTATCTCATAATGGATAATGTACGTTTTTTTTCATTCGGCTATCGAGCATATTATCTCGATGAAAATATATTTTACGCGGCTCATACTTGGAAACTTTTTACCAGATGCCTTGATTATTGTTGAAAGAACAATTTTTATGAATTCAGAGCTATTTCTTCGCTGTTGGAATTATAATCCAATTGGACTCAATTAGGCTTGAGATTTAAATGGTTATTGAAATACGATTTCAAATTTAAAAAATTTTTTTCAAATATTTCAAGAAGCAAGGATACGTTGTATGTTTTTAATTTAATTCAAAAAATTATGAATAATATACCACAGTTTTTAGTACACAAATGAATCATAGTATTAATATATGGCACTAAAAATGGCAACTCACCACACGCATCTCGATTGGCGTCGATGTTCTTCTCCAAATGAAAGTGATTTTTATAACTATCACACACCCAGTTTCGTGAGCGAAATTTCTAACATTTCAAAGGTACGAAAAATTTTTTATGAATCGCGCCAAAAATCAACACTATATACATGTATATATATGTATTTACGTAGCTTGTCTACGACCATGTGAGGGTAAAGTTTTGCTGGGAACTGAGATACCGCCAGCTTGTCAGGAGAACGTCGTGAGATGAGCGGCTACAGTTTTACCCTTACTCTCGGCGACTTTCTCTCTCCCCATTTTTCAAGTCCCAAACATTCTTATTGTTGATAGAATAAAAAATTATCATGATCATTCGAGGATTGAGTATTAACTTGATTCATTACAAAGTTTTCAACATATTACCAATGCGGTTTTACAACAGAGAATAAAAAGAAATAATAAATTTCGAAACTACTTATCTGTCCTGTTGAGCAAGTAATTTTTAAACTAATTAATTTTTTTTTTTTTTTTTTTTTTTTATCAACTTCAACGCTGTTTAAGTAACAAAAAGTAACTGTAGGAGAAACATTAAAAAGGTGATATTACAGGGAAAAAAGTAAGTATACATTTAGTTTTGTGTTTTCATAATATATTTAAAAATAGTTTAATAAACGATGTACAAAATTTATTACAATTCGAATACTTGAGATACTTAACAAAGTTTAAAGTTTTTTTAGAATAACGTTTCCCATTACCATCAAATTCTATATTATAATTAAACTATCAAAAACTTCCACTTTCATTGTGTTGTACGAGAAAACTTGTAAAAATGTGAATCAATCCAAACATCTCTAAAAATTTTTTTTTTTCATGCAAGCTCGATAGTATTTCAGACGTAGTTTAATTTCTATTGATTTCATCTAAATTGAACAGCATATTGATGTTTAAATCTTTCAATGCAAGTTCGATGACATCGTGTTTCTCATTCACAGTTTTGCTTGCCTGCGGTATGATAAAAAAAATCGCTTAAAAATAAGCAAAACGTCATAAATTTGATTAGTGAATTTCACACAAACCTGAAGGGTAACTATTTGACTGGGATCATCCATAAGCGAAATTGGAGAATTCCCCTCTGGAGGTACGTTTGTTTGCTCACTTTCAATAAAGTCCAGCTCCTAGATAAGCATTTTTATTATTTAAAAAATATATCAGACAAATAATTTATAATTAAGGACATTCTTTTCCCAATGACATGCTGAGTTTGATACATTTTTGTGACAAGAATATTTGTGAAAAAACGTCCTTAAAATATCGTACGAAAATTTTTTAAATATCTCACCGTGGGCTGATCAATCAGTTCAGCTGAATTTTCTAATAATACATCCAATACGCCGTCAGGGTCACTATCGAGCATGGCATGCGCCGTTTTTAAATGCAACGCAAGCGTACTGTGTTGTCGGTAACGTCTCCGGCAAATTTCGCACGTGTAAGGCTTCTCTGGGGCGTGAACTATATTGTGCTTATAAAGACTAGAGTACTCTGTAAATCGCTTTCCACAGTTTTTGTTCGTACAAACGTACGGTTTTTCACCCGAGTGAATACGTACGTGGTTCTTGTAATTCGTAGAACTGGCAAAGGCTTTGCCACATTCCGGCTGTGGACACTTGAAAGGTCTTTCTCCCGTGTGCGTTCTTATGTGAACCTAAAAAATAATATTCACCAAAATAAACGTTGAACTAAAAAATGAATTAAAATAATCGTACCTTTCTAATATTACTTGTCGTAAATGATCTACCACAGCCTTCGTAGGGACAGACAAAAGGTCTTTCTCCTGTATGAGTTCTTATGTGTTTTAAGAGATCTCCCGAAGTTTTGAAACGCTTATCACAATCCTCACTTGTGCATTTGTACGGCTTCTCGCCAGTGTGAATACGCAAATGGGCTTTAAGACTATAACCTGTAGAAAAACTTTTTTTACACGTTGGATAATTGCACGGGAATGAACGTTGTTCAGCGTGGGTCCGTTCGTGAACCTGAAAAAGTTGAGTTTTTACCGTAATTGATGAGCTTGAATGAATTTTTCGAGACAACTGTTACTTTTCTTACTTTCAAATGGTGTAAAGTGCTGTATGCTTTCGTGCAATCATCCTTAGGACATTCGTGATTATTTTTTAATTTGTTATCATCTCTTTGATTGTTTGCATCGTTTATTGGCTTATCGACTTGTACTTCTTGTAAATCTGCAGGGGTAACGAAACACAACATACCATCTATAATTTGAAACTGGTTGCAATCACTTTGCACGTCCTCGGACTCGTTGTTATCATTGTTGATGAATTTCACATTCACGGGATCTAATTGAATTTGCAGCGCTTCTTGGCCGACACCTTCTATTTCTTGTAAAAGTATTGTACCATTTTCTATTCTCAACTCGGCGTCCTCGCTTACACAATCTAAAACAAATTTTTGAAATTTTAATAAAATTCTTCGCGAAATAAATATACCGATCTATAGCCAAGTTTGTGTTTGGTTGCAGTTGTGTGTGAGAGAGAGAGAGAGAGAGAGAAAACAGTCATTTCGGCATAATTACGGTTTCTGTGGTGCCTTAATTTTTCAGACAATTAAGACTCGCGAGTAAACACACATTTTGAATTTTCGGCTTTCGAGTTAGACATCATGAAAAGCCCGCAAGTATGTAGGAGTAAATTTTTCCCGTGTTATTTTTAACATGAATATCTACTTGTACGAGAATCCACAAAGAAACCGTCATCACCCCGTTATTGCGTACGATTTTCAGTGTGACTGAAACATAAGCGCATAATCCAAACTAAAGAGTGTGTTGTTAATAAGGTATACGAGTGATTACCGTTTAAATTTGGAGTTTGTGCAATAAAAGCTTGTGTTCCGTCCGACAAAGTTATGGAAGTTAATGTGCTAAGTAATTGATCGCCAAGTACCAACTTCTGTACCTCCGTACTATCTAAATTATTATCATTAACTAATACTGACAGTTCGCCTAAAATATCTTGGTTATATTCCTAAAAGGGAAAGTGCATGTATAAATAATGACGCTTGAAAAACAAAAAGATAAAGAAAGAAAGAAAGAAAAAAAAAAAAAAATAAAGAAAGAAAAAAAACCAACGATTATATAATTTAAAAATTACAAGCTTTACAGCGTACTTCTAAATCTTGTAAAAGTGCATACTCTTCGTGCATATAAACAGTTTTGTCCAATGATTGTGCATTTTCTGCTGACATAATTCTTGTTAGTCTACAACAATAAAATACGGTTAGTGTTAATCAACATCTCGTTCGACGTGACGATGCTTGAGTGCTCATTTATAATGACATTTAGTAAATATGATTATTGTTATTGTTATTATAAATATTGTCGCATAAAAAGCAAGTGCAGTTGTTAATTTCCAACGTATCCCGAGAGAAGAAGAAGTATTAATAATAAATGACATACATTAAACCACAAAAAAGCTCGTATCCGTTCCCAAAACACTTGTTAGTAAGCATAAATGTACATATAGGTATACGGATATGTTGCAGTGATATATACATATATATTTGTAATAAGCCAATAGCCATACCCTAAAAACAGTAGCCAAACCTTTAATGAGTATTTATACCAGCGGCGACTCATGGGTGAGGGGGAGGGGCAAGCAAGCCGATATAGAGGTTAGAAGAGGGATGCAAGGAGCCCTAACTCCATAAAGCGGTGTGAAAAGAGTCCCAGTGACCGATAGGGCGGTTCGTCGTTGATGCTCCCCTCAACATTCCAGGCGCGTGATTTTGTTGGGACTCGGCTTTACCTCGATCACTGCGGTGCAGTCCTCGGCACTGTTATCAACGGAGCGCCCACCTAGCCCCGCCATTTTTCACGAACTGAGCTACCTGCCGGCCCCGCAGTACACGCCCAAAGAAGAAAACCGGGACAACAGCATCCGTGCGAACAGGATATGGACCGCTACACAATCACAGTATACGTGTAGCTCACCCATATAGATATACATTTGTTGTGTGCGCACCCCCTCCTATGGCTGTGTGTATAACTATATGTTTGCGCGCTCGTTTCAAGTGGGGGCAGTGGCCTCACCCTCACCCCCTCCCTCCCCATGTGTTTGCTCACACGTATACAATATATATATATATATATATATATATATTGTGCCACAGCAGTACTCCCTTTTCCCTTCTCTTTTACAGTTCCCCTCGCACACTGCCATACATACACTCTCTCGCGCGCGCACACCTTCGCAGGTGATCATTATCGTCTGCGCACGATGATGATTGCCCAGCATCCAGCAAGTACTTGGTTTGCGCAAGTGGTCCGATAACCCTTGCCTTGCACAAGGTATACGGATTATCCCTGGTAGGTACACGTGAGCAATTTTAGCTTCATATACAGAAAGCACACCCTTGTGCGTATGAATAAATTGAGGGGTTGTCGATTTTCGGTGTGACCGTTTTTTTGGTGCGCCTTCTTACTATTCCATTGGAAACGGCTAAATCGTAACGCTCGTTGCAGAGTTAAAGTCTTACTTCCGTTACAAGAATTTTGGTAAGTGTTTTCAACAAGTAATCGAGATTAAACATCTATCGATATTAGATTGAATTTTGAACTTTGAAACGTTTACCCATAAAATTTATAACATTAAACACGCACTTTTGTTATACATGTGTACGACATAATACATGACAATGTACAATTTATGTTTAAGAATTTTCACGTAAACTTACAAAAATTATTCAATCCAATTGTTTACGATGTGGTGACATTATATTTGTCTGCACTGGTCTCTTTAATATAATGATGAAAATACACGTAACTGTAAGCAAAAACTTACCTTGTGCCTCGACAAAGTTGTATATGTGTGATCCCTCGTGCAAGTGGGTATACGTATATAATATATCAAAGAAACTTCCCCGTGAGTGTCGTGCGTTTGACTGACTGGTGATGCAGACCAAAAAGCTAATGCCCCCCACGATTCCCCGGCTCTCCCAATACATACAACAGCTGCTTTTCTCTCCCCCTTCCCAAAAAAGAAAACTCATCCCCTTCATTTTCCCTTTGTGCAAGGAAGCTGTAGAATCATCATCCACCGGTGAAAACCGCAGGATATGTAGCTCTCTATGATTTTTTATGCGTGAATCCCCTCTACCGATTTCTCTCGTCTCAACAACTGCTGCTCGTGTGGTTTATTGCCCTCTTTAAAATTTTATATGATACTTGAATTAAAGATATATATATATATATACGCCCTGTGTGGTCAGACACCTTTTTAAATTACGGGCCGATCGGCAACGCGCGAATCTCGAGACTTGTAACCGGCAAAAAATCGGTATTACTCGAAACATATTATTAGCTGCTCGAGTACACGACAAGCTATAGTTTTACTATCATTGTTTTATAATTATATATGTCACAAATCAGCGATAAATTGTACACTTGGGTATTAAGTAAAAAAAAAATATATACCCAGTGGGAAAATGGTAACTTCAATCCATCTACACCGTAAACGATGGATATAAAAATTCCTAACCTGTGACAGTCACACCGCAAAACACGTCAAACCCAACCCTCATTCGAAATTTCAAGTGAACCTGACGAACCGCCAACCCAAGCAGGTACGCCAAAAAACAACAATAAATGTCTCAACCAAGCCTCGTGGACACCATTCGATGCCGATTATTCCAAAGCACCCGTAGGTAGAAAAGCGTACCCTATCCTTCAACCGCACCCAAAGCTATGTACGAAGATGTCGGGCTACGTCACGGTCTACCAGAAGGACTACCCGTGGCCAGCGCGCAAACCTTACTTCCCACGTGTGGACCTCGGCTGCGTCGTCGCGGCGCCGGTGAACGAGAAAGACCTCCAAAAATCACCATTGACGGCGGACGAGGTGTGCAAACAGAGCGAAGACGCAGCCGAGGCGAGGCTCGGGCCTTGCCCCCACACCGAGACCATTGAGTTCAGTCCCACCGACACTTGTCTGAAAAAGGTATATACTTACCTTGCCGTTAATCCACTATCCGAGGAAAAAAGGAACGATGCAACGGTTCTTTGTTTCAGTTGCTCGACGACAACCCGAATCTGCTGCACCTGATGCCCAAGAAGCCGTCCCTGAACGCCCTCAAAAAGTTCAACCTCGAGAGGCTCAAGAGCACCTATCAGGCAGACTACAACCACGCGGGTAAGCATCGAGTACGTAAACGTCATAATATCGTGCAAGGCTTATGTTTTGGAAACTCGGTTTTGTAACAACAGAGGACCAGAACAAGGTCGACTTGACCGGGCTGCCGGAGAAGCGGGTGCCGTGTCCGCTGGACGATCCCGAGCCACCGGTGGTGGATTGCCGGGTGCACATGTCCGGCCGGGCCGAGATGTTCCGGCGCAAACGCCTCGCCAAAAAGGACGAGTGCGCGGCCAAGACGTCCTGCACCGTGAAGCCCCACGTGCCACGTAGGAAGCGGCCCATGGACGAAGACCAGCCCGAGTTCAGGAAGAACGCCATACCCGCGTGGACGAGCGAGTACAGGGAGCAGATCAACAAGACGGGGCTGGAGATCGCCAAGGAGCTGAGCATGAGCAAGAGGAAGAGGGAGATTCTCAAGCTGAAGAAACTACTCAAGCCGAGGATGATTTGCAACAATAACGAGCCGGAAGCCAATAATGACTCGGATTGAGGGTTTTTTTTGGTTTGGAATATCATTTGTTGACAAATTTATACAATAAAGTCATACGTGGGTGCACTACACCGATGGGGGGGGGGTGTAAAAGCCCCTCTGCGTGTTGTTCTTTTGTTTGTAACGTGTGTTTTTCTCATTATAACCTGTACGAAAAAAAATGTTCTTCTCTTTGGGTGATGTGAACAAACAAGTCCGTAACGTGTCACATATACGTACATTTATGTGCATATGAGCTGATAGAGAACACGAAATTTCCGTCATGGCGATATAGTCGCGTAGAGAGAAAATTCGAGGCCAAAGACAATGTCCGCGCGACGTCGGAGCCACGACAGTCCCTCGAGCCGGTAATTATACGTTTTTTTTCAACGGTTGTGTCTCTCTCTCTCGGCAATCACCGTTTCTTTCGTTCAAAAGAGTAAAGTCGGGCACGGGAAGATGCCGTGGGAGCTCGCCGAGGGGCGACTGGGGTCGCGCGGAAACACCAACCAACACCGGTTACGCGGAGCACCGGGACTACAGCACGTTTTACAGCCCATCGGACATAGGCTTCAAGACGAGCGACGAGCAGAGCGAGTCCAATTGCTCGATCTCGCATTACGGCGACCTCGTCAGTCCGGATGACGAAAACGGAGTGGGTCTCGCTTAAATGTTTGCCTAAAAAACCCAACGCGAGCGACTGTACAAGATAATGTAAGCTTGCGTTTAAGGAAACGGAGGATAACTTTGGGGACCCGAGGCAAGAGCGCGAGAGGCTCGTACGGAACGTCACCTACTCGTCGCACCCGATCGGTAAGGGAGTGCCGATTTACGCTACCGACGACTACGAGGATGTGTCTCTGCGAAGGGATTACCTCTACGCGAAAGGTCTGCATTGTTGTTGTCGTTATTTTTGAGATCTATAAGGTAAAAAAGAAAAACGATTTGTTTGTTAGAAAAGAGCAGAGTGGCCTACGAACCGATTTATGATCCCCGAGCGACCTCGGCAGCGCAGAAACTTCAGAGGCTCCGGGAACTTCAGCGCAGGCGTGACTACACCGAGAGATTTTATTCTCACGAAATTCGAAAACTGATCGGCGATCACTACGTGGAGACGAAACCTTCGGCCTTCAACAGGGCACAGAATAAGGTTTACGGTTCGAGTTACGTCGGGGATCGGTTGACTCCCAAGGTCGTTGACGTGAGTAATAAACTTTTGTCTTTTTCACGCAGTGATTGCACTTCAAGGAAAGAGAGTGGGGTGTACTTTGCTCGGAAATACAATAAGCCAAAGATCGGTACAAATACCGATCAAGTATAGACACAATCGCTATTCTTGGCCGGATAAAAACCTCTGTAAAAACAAGCAGCAATGAATCCTCACGCCTACAGGGTTTGGAGCCATGTGGCACGATGACAACGGTGACGCGGCTGAACTGCGGCTGCGTCGAGCAAACAACGCGACCAATTTTCACGACATCGAGCGGCCAACAGGTCCAGAGGCGCAACTGCGCCCAAGACCAACAGGTGCACGTGCGATTGTCGGCACCGAACGCTCGCCTCGTCGTCGGGGGCAATCACCACCAGTCGACCACTACTGCTGGACCTACCAACAGCTCGGGAGGGACGAGGCTCAGGAGTAGATCGTTTGCGCACGAGCAGCGACCGGCAAGCCCGTCGCCCGCACCAACCAAACAAACGCCGGATCAGCAGAAAGGAACTTTGTCCGCGCGGAAGGCCAGCGAATTGTCTCTCTTTTCGGCGTGATTTACGAGGGATGGATCGGCAAATGTGAGAAATCGCTAGTGGAAGTTTTCCTGGAATTTGTAAATTCAACTTGCACGTTTTTTTTTTTTTTTTTTTTTTTGTACCGTTTTACTGCTACTGTACAGCAAAGTTTTGTGAGAAATATACAAGGAGCGATCCTCGACTTTTGGGTGTTTAATGATTTTCTTGACAATATCCACTGAAAAAACAACGTTCGAACTTGCGATCGGTATGCGATCAACCCCTCGAACATTCGATCAACAGCACTGTCATTTATCTTTTACAAATAAAAAAAAAAAAAAAAAACAAAAACAAATACAAAAGTGCAACAAACTTCACACGAAAACAAGAGCCCGATATTTTGGACGCGCGTCGCGTGGCTTTAACAAATTTCGACTACCATTTTCCCCGCGTCACGTCAAAGGCAACAAAAAATCGCAGTCAAAATCATCAGTTACACTTGATTCCCGTTTAATCCAGAGCCAAGATAGTTGAAAGAAAAAGAAAAAAAAAAAAAAAAAAATGATAAACTCGGGCGAATCGATCGCCATCAACGTAGCCCTAGCCTTCCTCAATGCCGTGCTCCACTACTTCCTGTACCGAATAGCCGTAGCGTTGATCCTCTGCGCGAAATCGACCATCATCTGGATATTCCAGAAGAGCGAGACCTTCTTACAAGCCCCGAAACAGCAGCCAAAGTTACCGAAGCCGAGATCCATCGACAGGGAGGACTCGAGCGAGGAGGTCGACGCCGTGGGCTCGTGACCATTTCTCTCTCATCGAAACAGGTATGCATACTTTTTTTTTTTTCTATCGAAAGGATTGTTTGACCGCATGATATGCTTTTCCTTCGAACGGAGGACGAGGCGAAATGCCGTGTCCTTACAAGAAAACGCGGACGCACGAGGACTTCGTGTGGCCGCGTCTGGTCCCACTGACCGAGAAACCGGCGCAGCCGCCCCTGCGGACGGGAGAGCGGATATTCCAACTGGAGCCGGATAGGCGCGTCTGCCGGGAACAGACTCACGATGGCTTTACACGATTGCCGGAGAGGTGCGATGATACATTGTATTTGATCTTTTTTTTTTTTTTTTTCCACTAAAGGCTTTTTTTTTATAAAATCCAACTTTAATTTTAGAGACCGGTACGGTGGAATTGAGACGAAAAGAGATGGCCCACTGATGAGCCGAAGGACAGCGATGCTTGCGAACGAGGACAAAGTCAATAAATATTACGTGTGCGACAGGCTGCAGAGTACTTACCAGCGTGACTTTGGGATCGGTAAGATATGTTTGCAGGTCGGTAGGGTCCGTTGGATGGATTTGTTTGCTCATCGGGGATTTTTATTTGGATTTTCAGATGAATTTAGTTACGATGAATTAATCAACGAGGCGTTTGGAAAAGGATCTGGAAAAAGAGGGGGCAAGAAAAGACGCGCATACGTTGATCCTTTTGAATTCAAAGTGAGAATCGACACGAGAAATGTGATAATTTGAGAGAGAGAAATAAAATTTAAAGTATTCAGAGATGGTAGTAATGGGTTATTATTATTAAAAAAAAAAAAAAAGAAAATTTATTGTAATAAAAAGTTAGTACGAGTAGCAGCGTAAGGTAACTGTTTTACATAGTACCTACTGATTATATAATATCAATATCATGATATTTAGACACATTTAGATATTTTCTTATTGTTTGTTGTAAATTACAACTTAGGAGTTTTAAGTAAAAAAAAAAAAAGCTGCAGTCAAGCTGGAAATTTATATAAGCTGTCAACTAAAGTTTTCTGTAACTATTCTTGCTTTCTTACTCCAAGTTTAAATTCATTTCTTTAGAAGTACATAAAGTATTAGCAGCATGAGAGAAAAATTAAGTTGTCAATGAATTTATTACATCGTCTTAATCGACAAAGGGTCTGTTGTGAAACGAGGGAAACTTTTGAGAATATTTTTGGATTCTTTGCACCCATGAAATAATTATCGAACAATTGCAAGAGAACTGCAACTGCTTCACAGCTTCATGTCTCCGGGCGGCGCGTCGCAAAATTAGCGCATACTTGTCTTGTAGACTACTTACTGAAAGACATACAAGTACTGAAGTATATTATGTTCTACAAGAAATCTTGAAAAAATGCGAGATAACTGGGTCGATACATCGATTATGTCCTCTCTGCCCTGCGTTTGTGCAGTAAAAAATATACTTACAAGAAGCCGACGCGAGCACGCTTATACCTGAAGTATTTCGGTTATGCAGAAGTGCAGATGCAGATGTGAATTTTCTTAGATATATATAATGCTCAGAGTATATTTTACACGGCGGAAAATACTGGACATTCAATTCATTATTCAAATCTAATATAAAAAAGATACGAAGTTTCCATACGTCGGTACGTAAAAAAAAAATTTTAATGCATTTTCTGTTTACAATCAGCGTCAACTCACGTTGCGAATTTCGAACTCTTTCGTGAGTCAGTCATGAGTCACGATCTTTGTTTTGTGGGTAAATCGGGGTTCTTTTTAGTTCGAAATTCGCAACGCGAGATAGCGCTGATCCTAAAATGCACTAGCCCAAAGCCCATTATAGAGGCGAGTGCATTTTTGCAGTTCTACCACTAGTACAACCAACGCGAGGCATGCGTGGGTGACATTTAGTAGTTACATTTTGCATGTGATCATCAATCTCGAACAGTATTGAGTATTTCAAAGCACGCAATTAGACCCTACAGGTCTTTGGTTTTTAACCTAGATATACTATACATTACATATATTTACACACCTAGTGATTTACTTCTGTCAGAAGTCCCTAGAATCTAGGGTTTTTCCCAAGACGGTTCCCCTAGAAAATAGTTCACGTCAGTCCGCGAAATCCGAAACGCTAGATGGCGCTGCGACTTTGGAACTTCTGTGCATGGTGTTACGGTTTAGTGGTGTATCAGCTCACTGTATGTGTAGCCTGTATATGTGTATATAGTAATTTCTTTCTGGCGAAAAACCCTAGGTCACCGAAATCTAGGGTTTTATTTACGACTACCCTATCGTGCGGGCGGCAAATGGCGACAGACCGACAGCTAGCGACAGCAGTCAGCACCGCTGTAATTAAGTAGTATATATATACCGCGTATACTTATATATTTTGGATATATAGCAGCAACCAAACTCCTCAAAAAGAGAAAGAGAGAGAGAGAGAGAAACGCAACGGCGACAAACACGGCTTCAGTAAGAGAGCAGCGCAGCCAGCGCACAGTTGTAAAACAAGTGAAGTATACGGAGCACGGACGGAGATCCGCAGTGTATATCGGGACACTTCATCTTCGTCATATTTCTCTTGGAGCAGTTGGAGCAGTTGGTTGCTGGAAGCTCGTTTTGCATGTAGCGAATTTGTTTGTGTTGCTCGCGTAGCAAGTGGTCAAAGTGCATGGTGTGTCATCGTAATTTTAGATATTCAACTATGACAAGAAGGAGGAGGAGACGGTGAAAGAGTACTTTGTATATAAGGTGCGGGGGCTGTAGCCGCCGCGATGAGCCCAGCGCCCGTTTGCAGTGAAGAAGTGGTGCTGCATCATCAGCATCAGGGTGATAATAAACTCCTCAGAGGAGGTACCGTCGTCGTCATGAAATCCGTGTCTGACGGCGAGATCGGCACCGAGGTCAAAGCCAATGTCCTCGTGGTCAACGATTCGGTGGTTGTTGAAGTGAGGATTTGTATACGCATATACACAAGAGTACAAATATACCATACGTGTGTTCTAAGGGGTAGATTTTATAGATAAATGAGTCCGGCTTTGTGGGTATCATGTGGTTCTTGGCCGTTTTTTTTTTCTCTCTTTTTTTTTTTTTTTTTTTTTTTTTTTTTTTTTTTTTTTTTTTTTTTTTTTTTTTTTTTTAATTTTTTAGTGGGTGTTTTGGTGGCGAGCGAGTGAAATACTGTTATTGCGGGCCAATTGTTGATTGTTTTGTGTATGTATACACGCACCGTGCGTTAGGGTACTAAATTTTCGTACGGATGATAATGATTATAAATGCATTTAGATATTTTTAATCATTTTTAACTTATTTATGGTTAAACTATTGAAGTATGTTTATAATTGTTGTTATTATTTGTTATCTGTTTTTTTTAGGCTAATCCTTGTGCTAAAACGAGAAGGACCAATCTCAAAAGGGCAGTAACATTGCCAAGAATGTTACAGTTTCCAAAGAGAAGATCAAAGCATCAGGGACAAGTCATACTAAAGGACAATATGCAAACGTTAGACCAAAATCGACTGTTGGTGGGTGGTAAAAAGTTGGGCCACAATGCACCATTGAGAAAGTTTGGCAAGTACATTAAAGAAAAGTTTAAAAGTGTGGCAAATGTCGGTGATAAAAACAATAAAACAGTGAACATTAACGGGATTGGCTCGAGTGCAGGTGACATAAGGCTGCCGCCTGTCAGGCCAGCACACATACCTCCCGACAGAGTTCCAGGTGTCATAGGATTAAGAAATCATGGCAATACGTGCTTCATGAATGCAGTATTACAGTGTTTGTCGCATACAGACGTCCTTGCAGAGTACTTTGTGTTGGACCAGTACAAAGCTGACCTGTCTAAAAAGTACAAGTTAAACCCTAAAAAGTATGGCACTAAAGGTGAAATCACAGAGCAGCTGGCGTTGCTGCTCAAAGCTATCTGGAGCTGTCAGTACGATCCAGAGATGAGCACTGCTTTTAAAAGTGTCGTGGACAAGTATGGTAGCCAGTACCGCGGCAATTTGCAACATGACGCTCAGGAATTCTTATTGTGGCTGCTGGACAAAGTTCACGAAGAGCTCAACCAAGCCACCAACAAGAAGTACAAATTAATTAAGGTAAGTTTTTATTTCCCCTCCCATCTGGAGCATTGATTAAACTTTTTTGAGCCAATGCTTGGGAACTTTAAGTTTGTACCTTAATCAGTGCATCAAAAGTCCACATGTTCAAAATGATGAATATTTAGAGACCAGCCTCAATAATTGTCAAAACGTTTGGTAATAAAGCAAGTCCAGTAAATATTATCAATATAGCCGGCAAACATGTATGATTCACCAAAATAAACAACAAGTTGTACAATCAAACAATGAACTCTCCAACATTCATATATACACACACACTTTGTGCTTTGAATTTCGCGACGGCTTCGCTCTGAGGTTATGTTATGCAACTTATGCCTTCGTGTTTGTTTGGAGCAAAAAAAAAAATAAAAGTAACTCGATGTCGATTGTGTACTTGTGATGAATAGCCTATAACAATTAAGTCCCTGACAATCATCAAAGTCGTCGTTATACCTGTTGGTGATGAATGATGAAGATAAATGGTTTTGGAGCTCAAAAGTATTTTCAGCATTTAAAAAAACTATGTCTTGTCTAAATTTTTGACAAAAAATTCACAAAAAGAGACCTGTTACGTATACTGTTATCTGTTTGTTCTATTTTATCATGACTCATCGCATAATTTTTTTTAATCCCACCTCTCCATACTTCATATACGTGTCAAGTTACATGATTTTTTTTTTTTTTTTTTTTTTTTTACAATCGTAACAAACCAACACAAGGGGAAAAAATTCCAACCACTGCCAACACTAGCGCAAACAAATTCGATAGCGTGTAGCAAAGTTGATTGCGAATTATTAAAAAATGCCAATTAAATAAAAACGTACGCATCCAGCAAACATGCATGCAATGTAAACATAAAAAATCAGAGACAAGCAAGTTATGTATATATTCGAAAAATGTTTTGCTCTTAATTTAGGCCGCTTCACGTAAGTAATTACATCTGCTGCACAGAGTGCGATGAACAACAGCGATTGCTCGCAAACTAACACGTACAGATATATTATACACGTCGGGTACACTTGTCGCGTTTCACTTTCGCCTCCACCCCTCTCTGTCCGTGTTATTTTTGTTTGTGGAATGCCGCTGTATTTGTCCAAGGGTTGAATATCTTTGGCTGTGGGGTACCCTTTTTTTTTTTTTTTTTTTTTCATTTCTTCACAAGCCAACGCTCCGGCCACTGGAAAAATACCGAAGGCGCGATAATACACACGCGCGTGCCCGTTGAGTACCGACCACAAGTGCGTGTATACATACAATTGTTACGTATGGCTTATCTTTCGATGGATTTATAAATTAATATGTTAAAATAACATCACTTGTGCGATAATGTGTCGCGAATTTCAAGATTAATCGAGCCCTTGCAGTCGTCTCGAACTATAAATTCATTGAGTCATCGTTTTGTATAAAAAGAACTCGTTTGATCCAACGTATGTACGTATCTTCCGCTTATCGTGATTTATTTTTCCTTCTCAGTCGTAATTACACAATGGACGATAAATTGTGCACGAAAAGAGAAAAAAAACAACAAACACACAAATCTTTCGATTTCCACTATACCTATATATATACCTATACCGATTCACAATAACCATAGAGAATCAATTAGCTCGATTGAAAGCAAAATAAAAAGATGATCTATAAATTCGAGGTGTGTCTAGGGGGAAAAAAAGTCGAGCGTCTGAAAAAAAAAAAAAAAAAAATTTGAGATCGGTTGTGCAAAGTGGCTCCGTTGAGTCTATCCTACATTATTTTGCTCGAGGACCTGTAGGAAGAACCACCGTTAGGTTTTTATTTGCTACACTGCAGATATAAATACAGGCCTATGCGAAACAAGAGACACGCCAGGAATTTTCTTTTTCCAAGTGTATAGGTACGTATATACCTGTAACCCACATGCACGATGAGACGCAGCTTCCTCTCTCGCCCCGTTTTATTTTTATTATATTTTTTTTTTCATTTTTCCACCTACTCTTCGCCGGTCGTTTTTGCACGCACAGAGTCACTTGGTCGCTCGGTCATCGTGTCTGTCGCCCCGGCCTACTTAAGTATACCATGTGGATGCGTCTGTTGAGTTGCACAGCAGCGTATACTAAATCACGAGACCCAAGAGACAAGTGTACGTACCATCGTTTTGTTTCTCAACTGTTGCGTAAAACCCAATTTGTTTATTTTAAATAACCAGGACAGTTGTCGTTTTAAATAAACTAGACATGCTCAAGTATACTGTTGAACTTACGTGAATTATTATAAAATAATCAAGGAGATGTTTGTTGCTGCAACTCGAGCTTCGAATGTAATCGGTATCGCCATCCGAGGAGAATCAGCGAGACCGGGTTTGTCACTGTACTCTTGTTTTAGTATGCTTATCAATGGATACGCTATACTTGAATATTTATCTGCTATGGGTACCGAGTAAAATTTCACCCTCATCAGATTTAAATATAAAAGAAGTGCACATCTCTTCCGATCAACTGCTTAAATTGGTACACGCATGCGAGTGTACTTAATCAAAGGACAGCAGCAGCTCAGTCGGAGAAAAGGTACAGACATATATACGCGATACAACCGATTCCATTGCTGCTGCCGAGAGAAAAAAAGAAGTTAAGGCCTTAACCCAAATATGTGTATTCATGTCGGAAATAAACACGCGCATATCTGCGAGATATACAGCATCGATGTCTCGTCTCGCACCGACGAAAATATACTTACGCCCCTTCTCCCGTCGGTGCATAATAAAGCACCAAGGAGAAGTTGAAGAAAAAAAAAAAAAAAAAATGATCCTACTCCTTATTCCCGGCAGCTTGTTACGACTTTTCCGTACGTGCTGTCGCTCATTGGGCATTTGCGAAGAAATAATCACCTCGTCTTTTGGGAGAAGAGTTAACTCTTTGTAGAGCTTGCCTCGGGGAAAAAGAAAAGTTTTTGAGGATACTTGATTGCTTCGTCGAAAAACGAAGAGGACGAAGTTTTTTTTTTTTTTTTTTTTTTAGGTCTACATCTTTCTTTTTTTCTCTCCTATAAGCATATCATATCAGGCGTACCTACAAACGGGGACGAGACAGATCGATTCCGAAAACTCGAGAAGTTTCTTTTTTCTTTTTTTTTTTTTTTTTATTATATTACTTCAGCGGCGCGTTTACCTCAAAGGAAACATTTTTTTTTTGTTACGAAATGAAAAAAAAAATACACCCCCACGCCGAAAAACCATCCGCAACCTCCTTTATGCGTGTTTATACCCACGGTCGCGAAGGGTATACTGTAAAGTAGCACACCGAGAGAAAGAAAGAAATCCATTGCGCACGGGCCGAACGAAAAAGGAAAGAAAAAGATAAAAATAAAAGGGAGGACGAGGAACGAAAAGTATTTAAAAAAAAAGCCTGCCCGTGAACAAAAGGGCTGGGAGGCGGAGGAGCCTCTTCTTATTCTTTACGACGCGTACCCATATAGGTATTGTTTTCGCGTCTCTATATGCATGTATATGCGTGTGTATTTGTATACGTGCGAAAAAAAAAAAAAAAAAAAAAAAGAAACTACCAAAGAAAAGGGGCAAGGCGGGGGTAGCGCAACAGAGAGGGAGACCAACTGACTCGTACGTATATACCTAACTTTCGGCTTCTCGAATGTCATCGTGGGTTATACCTTACAACACCCACTATATACGCGCGACACACGACGCTGCGGCCGATTACAGCAACAAATGACGTAAGAGTGTATAAACCACCGTATATACTTATGTATGCGCGCGTGTGTGTGTGCAGTACACAGTGTGAGAGAGAAGAAGGAGGTGCTCTTGATGAGGATGATTCATCCTTTTCTCGCTTCTCTATATATGTATGTTTTTTTTTTTCTTTCTTTATTCGCTTACTTTGCAAAGTCGAGAGAAATCGAGAGGAGCTCGTGGGTGTATGATTGTGACTCTACACAAAATAATACACGATGGTGTATGCGTGTGTTTTGTGTCATTTGACACTTCGTTTTGAGTATATAATATACTGCACAAGTATATAGAGTCTCGCTTGGGTGGACGTATTTTTATTTTAATTTGATCGCCGATTGTTGCTTTTGTCAATCCGAGCTCGTTTTAATTGATTACTCGGACAAAACACTTTTTCGCCGATTCGACGTACGTTATGTTTTATTTTATTTTCCTCCCTTTCGTCTCGCCATCATCGCTTGTTTTGTTATTGCAATACCATACATATGTACACTCAATAAGAAACGTCTCTTGTTTTAAGTACGTGTGTAATCTCAGACGAGGAGAGAAATGATGCCTTTGGCAAATTTCGCGTGTATGGGTGTGTTGTACGTTTGTTGGCCTCGTATCAAACTCAAATTCGTGTAAATATCACGCGCTTATACGCGAGAGTTTATTCTCGATCAGTGTTCCTGAAACCTCGCAGCCCATAAACACCTCATCGTATATCCTACTCCCTCCTCATAGGCTCGAATCGTAAAAAAAAAAAATCACCATCCCACGGATGAAATCGCTCACCCACACACGCTATATGCACGACAATCATCGTCGTAATCGTAGGTAGTAATGGCGATCATCATCTGATCGCTGAACTCTTCGAGCTTATCTCGTCTCAGCCATCGGGTGAACGAACATCGATACACATGTAGACATACAGAAAGAAAAATATGGGAAGAAGCTCTCCCAACTATTGTACGGCCCACGAAGCATAAATATAGTCTGCTTTTCTTCCTCCCTCTCTCTTCTTCTTCCTGTGTAGGTACACGAAGAGTCCAAAAAAGAAGGGAAAGGAGGAAGAGGAGAGCCCGCGTGGGTGGGAATAACGATTTTATTGGCATCGAAGAAAAGAGGAAAACGAAAGGCATAGACGCCAACAACTCGTTGTCGTCGGCGAAGGTAACCTTATGACGATGAGATCTTATTGCTAGCTATAGATGGACCTTTGTTTCATACATATCTATTTATATTCGCGCGCCTATACACCCTCTCCGCGATCGGTATATGAACCAGCAGTTGTAAACAA